ACTTTGAACGACTTTACTTTTGAAAAGTTAATCACTATGCTTCGTAATTCATTGTAGAAGTGTATTTGATCGATATAATATTGAAGTAGATATTTTGGGGCTAATGTTTGCTGCTGAATAAATAAGGGTAAATAACGATTAGGATGGAAAATGTATGAATTTCGGGTGTTTTATGGAGTGCCATATATGCAGCTGTTGGTGTAAAGTACAAATGTGAATTGATTATCAGCAGAACGAATCAGGTGAATTTATCTGTGTTAAATTGTCCCTATAGAATTTACAACACTTAAGCATGAAACAGTTATATTCGACAAGAATTTGCTTAGTTCTTACCGTGTGAGATCCTTTTTTCTCTTAATGAGAAAGACCTAAAAATACCCCAATTAATGTTTAATTAGCCAGAAAGAACGTCGAAGATCATGAATCGGCAGTGCCAATGATTGAAGGGATAAGTGGGAATAATTTTGATGAAAATCAGTAGGAGAATATATAAGTTTTCTATCTTAATTGAAGTTGCTTATATAGAGATCTTTTGGCTGAACAAATCGGTGAATGAGTAGCAAACACACGGAACCGGACCATTTTTTGTGACAAATTCTAATTTTGACTCTTTTCAATAATCGAATCGCCAACATTATAACCTGCTACAAATTGATACAATACTTTATAGTTTTGTCTGTATTGTTCAAGATCTTTCACCTCAAAACACAACGAGAAAGACTTGCAATTGCCTCAAGTAAAAGGTATAAGATGAGAAGAAACAAAAAATACGCTGAATTTTACGAACTTTGTTTTCAGCAGGTGTCAGTATAGCATTGAGGAGGCTGTTATAAAATGGGTTTTCCGTCAGTGTGCTCATGTGGTGAACTGCTACGTGAGCATATAATTAGTTGAAGTAGACATCGATTATTCGATCGAAGATCTATCACCGATGTTTCTTAGAAGGACATCATAATTACTTCAGTCTTTCAGTGTCTATGTATGCTATCATATGTATTTTTCGATTTAGAGTCAGTTAGGAAGAGGATATATTAGTGCTTAGCAATAAATATATGATCCTTGTTTGTTTGTGAAAGGACGTAGATAAACGTGCAAGTTGAACACTCATTACCGTCTATGTTATGAATTGCGAAGTAGGCTAAGAGTTTTTACTTTACTTTTAGTTACGAATTGGGAAAGATGTTTGTCTAGAGCAGTACGTCAAATAACACTATTTTAATTTTTTCAAACATGAGTCGAATTTCCTAATTAGCCAGCCATATATATGAGTGTAACAGTCCGCAGTCAACGAATACTAAATAGTAAGACAGCAATTTAAAATGCTGCGCAAGAAAGCGGATTTTCGTTTATTTTGTTTATCTGTTATAGAATGATTTTATAAGCTCTGAGTGAATCACAAATAGGACATTTTAATTTTGGAGTATTTTGTCATATTTGTTTCCCTATGACTGAGTCTACTCTGAATGTGGGCGTGGAATAAGGATTTTCTCAGGTCAATTCAAATGATTTCAAATTTTTTCAATCTTTCTTGAAATATTTCGCAAGATCTTTCTTTGAAATTGCTTTGGAAGATGTTCAAAATTCTCACATGTAACTCGTCTGGTAAGCAGGCAAAGTATTTGCAGCTGTATTACCAATGATTTATACCATAATGATGATGGACTGTACACATAACTACTACTAGTTGAACTTTTATTGTGATGTTAGCTGATCTTCGATCCATATTACTACTAAAAGTATTACGACTAGAATAAACTAGCTATGTTGATGTGTGCTATTCAATTTATAGGACCAATAACATCTATTTCTGAATAGTCCGTGTTACGTAATCTGATTAGCCTAGCTATTTTTGAGACTTTCTGTTAGTGAAAAGTAGAAATATCACATTGAATATTCTTGAAATATCACGATACGTAAGCAAATCATAAAAAGTCTTGAAAAATTATTAAAAAAATTGCACAATTCTGAAAAGTCTTTAGAATACTGATGAAAGTTCTTGAAAGTTTTCAGTGTCATTGTAAAAGCATCTGAAGAGCTTCGACTTCGTTGTACCTTTAAGAGACTTGATGAGTGATATTTTCACTTTCGATAACATGTTGATTGAATATATAAAGAAACATATTTCAGTCAAGATACAGTGGGTTACATACAGTGTGATTTGCGTAGCGCTTTAATGTGTAACAGCATCACATGTATGCAGGTGAGAACCAAAAGAAAAGAAAACATACATGTATTTCCGAATTTTTCTGTTTCGAAATATTTCAACTGTTTTTCTACGCTTTTCAATGTATTTCGAAATCCTTAAAAAGCCATACAAATGTGTGAAATACCACAAATCAGTCAGGTTGTATATAGACATAAGGACGTATTTAGACAGGTGCTCAAGAAAAGAAATTTATCAGCCCTTCTCCACTCCTTAACAAAAGTTTCACAAAATTTACACTCTCTGTTACTCAGACGCCGAAATACTTTTCGTAGTTCTATATTTGGCATAATATGAGAAAAGAGATTGCAACTACTTTCATAGCTTCCATTGAAATGCTATTTGATAATGCTTTGATGGATCAAAGGGAAAGACAGAAAAAATTATCATTTATTGATGTCTGCTATGAGATCATTTCAGATGGGAAATGGAAGTAAACATGTGTTTGTTCTTCTAGAAATAAAATGAAATTCATGTATCTGGCAGATATTATGTATTCAGTAGAGTGAGGAGTAGAAAAGATCGCGATTAATTTTAACGAATTAAAAATTGATTACATTGTTAATATTGTCTTTTTTTGGAATTCGAAGTCTATTAAAGATTATACCACATCAGTCGTCTTTTTATTTGTAAAATCTAGGTTAAAATCAATTTAAATCTCAAATTAACTACATATCTACCTTAATAAGATCCGAATCTCTTATCAATTAGTTCTATTTTAATTGACCACGCTTTCAATGAGTATTTTGTTTTCCTTTCAAAAGTTAAAAATATTAGACAAAAATCCCACCAAAGTTGTTGAGTATTCGAGCAANACCGGATCCGGCGATTAGGAATTATTCGATACTTCTCCTTTCCAATTGAAAAAAAAGTTGTGAATTTCAACGATAAGTAAATATTTCTTATTGGAAGTAGGAATCTGGAGAATCACTGCTTAGAGTTGGATTGAAACTGACTTTTCTAAAAGCATCACAGAACGTCGACTGAGCAACATATTTAGATTGAAATCAGTAAATTAATGAATTTAACTGGATCTTATTGCCGATTCTATCACATAAAATCTTTACTCTACATTGCTAATCTAATTAAGTTTCCTTAATTTGATATACTTAATGCATTAACAATATGTTTTGATATAAGCCCCATTAAAATTGGATCAACACCATAAAATACGAATAGGATGATCACTGTTTAATTAGTCATATTTTCGTATGTGTTGACTCTATCTGATACTAAGATGGCTAACATTGGAGTTAAAATTAAATTTTTATTTTCTCAGTCTATATGTGTAGCATTTGAGTTTTTATAAACAATAGCTATCAGCAATTTATAAAACCTAGAGGGAATGACAGGATTTTTTTACATCGAAATAATTGTTCATATCTTTGATATTTGTGGTCTAAATCGATAACAGTTGATAATAGTTTGAGGTAGGTCATCATCTTATGTAGCTATACGTAGAAGTACAAAACATGCATAGAAATAGATTAGAAAAATACTTCTGATTAATTATTGGTTCAAAATGAATCTATTACAAGAAGTAAAAACTCTAAAAATGAAATAATTTCGTACATCCACACGCTTAAATTGGATCACAACCTATACAGAAACTTCAAAATAAGCATCAAGTGTAATGAATTATTTTTTGTGTTAATATTGGAGCTCGTAACCAACCTGTGCTGATCTGAATCATTTGTAATCAGTTTTGTATTAACAATGATTTCATCATGATTCAAGTACAGCAAAGTTATCGATTGATAGAGTTTGCGCTGTTCGATTATTTTTTAATGAAGTCGTTAAATGCTACGAACAATTTCATTTGAATCTTGCTCGAATACTCAACAACTGTGGTGGGATTTTTGTCTAATATTTTTAACTTTTGAAAGGAAAACAAAATACTCATTGAAAGCGTGGTCAATTAAAATAGAACTAATTGATAAGAGATTTAGATCTTATTAAGGTAGACATGTAGTTAATTTGATATTTAAATTGATTTTAACCTAGCTTTTACAAATAAAAAGACAATTGATGTGGTATAAACTTTAATAGACTTCGAATTCCAAAAAAAAAGACAATATTAACAATGTAATCAATTTTTAATTCGTTAAAATTAATCGTGATCTTTTCTACTCCTCACTCTACTCAATACATAATATCTGTCAGATACATGAATTTCATTTTATTTCTAGAAGAACAAACACATATTTACTTCCACTTCCCTTCTTAAATGATCTCATAGCAGACATCAATAAATGGTAATTTTTTCTGTCTTTTCCTATGATCCATTAAAGCATTATTAAATAACATTTCAGTGGAAGCAATAGAGGTAGCTCCAATCTTTTTTGTCATATTATTCCAAATATAGAACTACTAAAAAGTATTTCGACGTCTGAGTAACAGAGAGCGTAAATTATTGCCCTGGGCTAGTTCAAATAATGCAATCAAATGAAAGTGATAATATTCAAAAATCTCTAGAAGAATATTTGATATTATTGAAGAATAGAAAAAATCAGCTTGAAAACGAATTAATGATACAGTCATCATCTTGTACAACTACATTACATTCTCTAGAGATGATAGATCAGAGATTGAAAGACTTTGTTCGTTTATATCATATGGATTTAGTGAGAACAGTCAACTATCAAAAAAAATAAGTTAAAAGACATTATCTATGAAAAACGATTATTAAATCAAATATCTTCTTATCACTAAACTGAATTACAAGTAACCATAACAATAACACATTGGATCCTTCCTATTATTGTTTTATGCCGTCTAGTGTCAAGCGATTGATGAAATGAGTGCTGTTCGTAAGAAACAACTGAAAATATTCGAAGATTTGACTATATTCGAACAACAAATCTTATGTCATACATTGCCAAAAGCATTTGATGATATTCCAATAGCTAAATATCAAAATTTATTTGGAAACGAAGCTAATAAAATTATGCAAGAATTAAAACGTCGAAAACTTAATGATCACTTGAAAAAATATGAATTGAAACTGAAACATTATGAAAATTTGTATCAAACGGAAATCAATACGTTTGAGTCTAAACTTATACAAATAAGTTCAGATCATGAAGATACTCAATCAAATATTTTGATGACCTTATTGAAATGATATTTAAGTCATCACACCAATCGATTAATACGTCAAATTCGTTACAAAGAATCTTGTGTCCATGTAAAATTAGTACGTCAGCATCGTCGTCATTTATTATCGAAACAACAAATAGTCGATGTTTATCAACAAATCATTGTCGACGTTCCTAAAGTATCATTGAATAGGCTTCAATTAGATTATCTTTCCCAGAGTGGTAAGTAAATACCTTTCGTTTATAGTATTATCTCAGCCGTTCATTTATTCTTATATATTCATGTCCTGGTACTTTTTCTATTTCAAGGACCTAATTATATCAGATCAAAGCAAAGTTTTCTTCATTCTTATAAGGGTTGTTCCATGGGAACTCAACCAAAAAAACACAAAGTATCCAATTTTTTTTGTTTTCATCTGGTTTTGTAGAGCTCGTTTCGCTGATCATTTTAGTATAAAACAACATTAAAATTCATAACTAAAAATATTTTTTATAGCGAAAATACTAAAACTGTTTTTTTATTATAAATACCTTAGGTTTTTCGGTATTTTAGACCTGGCGCAGTTATTTCTAGATATATTTTTGAAAAAAAAGTATACCAAAATGTTCAGCTCAATCAGCTCTACAAGTAGTGTACTGCGTGATCGTGATCGTGATCGAAATTAAAATTTGATATTCACGAAAATATTGTTTGCGTTCAAAATTTCAAATATTTATTGAAAAAGTTAATGTTTACATTTAAGCGAAAGACAAAATTGAATCCACTAATCTTAAAGGTACTCCCCCCTTTCCGGACGTGAAAAAAAAATTGTTTTTCGACTTTTTGTTTTTCATTGATACATGTACCTCATAGTGTCTTTTTTCGATATAATTAGAATGCAGACATTGAAAACTTGTAAGTTTCGACTTATTTTTGTAGTATGCGTTCATGTTGATATTCAATGCTATTCCGAGTCGCTGCCCATGTAAACACGAAACGCAAAACGCAAAATCGACGCGTTGAAACGCGCGAAACGATTTTATACCGTGTTCACACGCGTTTTCAGTATAAAACGCATTGAGACGCAGTTTGAAAAATTTTGAAACGCATCTGAACGCAGATTTTGAACATAACACGTTTAACAGTAATTTGAAAACAATATTAACCGTATCTCATCGCGTTTGATATTGAAATCGCGTTTATGCGCAGCTGATAAAATTCGACTGAACGCGTTCTAACCGGGTGTAATATGACACGCGTTTGAGCGGGTTATCGAAAAAATATGAAACGCGTCTGAACGCTCTTTTTTTTAAAATCGCATTGACATGCGACTTACGGCATCAGATTCTATAAGACGTGCACTATAAGTGAACTAGATCAAGTTAAATTAGTCAAGAAAATTTGTTTTTAAGAGTTCCTGTAGGCAATAGATGCTTGCATCATTTTACCTTTATCTAAATTTAAGAAAAGAATATATGATAAATATTCAGACGAAAAATATTCCTAGTGGACATAAACCCAGAAATAGGTATCGTTAAAATGATTAAATCGATATATTTTCTTTCTATTCATTTAAATAAAAATGCTTTTATATATTGATATTTTATACTGCTTGTATGTTCGTGATAGAGCCCAGTAAGAGTATCAGACGTAGATTTGGTCACATTCGATAGTAATAAGACAAGAAAATTGATTAAGTTGCTGTTCTATTCTATTTGTATAGCATTTGGTATCTGTAAATTTTACACGTTATAGTATTATTATTTTACATACTCAGTTTTGGTGGTTTGAAGATGAAAGATTGAATCATATTAACGAAACTTATTTAAGATTGCTAATATGACGATTATATTTTTGGAAAGTAAATATTAGATTTTTCTTAGCTGAACTTTGCTATCAGAGCTCTTTATCCTTTTATGTATTATTTTGATAACTTCAAATGATCAATGTTAAGTCGTTTCATGAATAAATCTGAATTCTGTTTTTCAATTGATATCAGTCATTAATGAAAGTTCTCATTTCAGTAACATTCATAATTTTATTAAGAAACAAAACGAGAATCTATTTAATAAAATAAAGTAAACTGATATTAAACGTTGAATTCTGATAGTACCGCCGGTGATTTTATGTAAAAAAAACATTGTTGCGCATTCTCTCTTAAATGGAAAAGGTTGTCAAATTAAGTGTTTGAAATCAAAAAAAAATTGAATAAAAATTAGTTTTGTGAAAATATTTTTTCTGATAGATATGTGTATTGATAATTAATAATTTGTAAAATTTATCTTTTTTCTATATTTCTATCATTTCTAAATTTTGTAAATTTTAAATGAGTTTATAATCCTCGTAGACTTTGCATGCCATCAGACAACGATTGTAGTCATATATAGCTTCATGGTACGTATACATGTCTCTTAAACATTAGTTCACATGTTCTAATCTCATTTCTATCATTTCAGATTCATCGATATGTCGATATGCTAACAGTTCGTTGACCTACAGTTAGGTAAAGACCATGCGATAGAGGATATCGATGGTGACTCAGATCAAACCTGAGACGAACTGAAATATTTTTTTTCATTTTTCATAAATTGTATGGAACGCGTCTAGACGCAGTTTTCTTTGCAAACGCGTTTATTCCCGATTTTGTGAACAACCGCGTCTAAATGAGATTTTACCTGCAGCCACGTCTAAACGCTTCATTTGTTTCACTGGGGACGCATTTAGACGCATTCTCTGTGTGCGTTTCGCACGCAAATGAAACGCGTTCCAGACGCGTTTCGAGGCAAAAAATATTTACATGGGTGGTTGAAGATTCAGTACCTCCAGAATGGTGTAGTCTCAATGATTTCATTTTTCGTTGGGTATTTTTTGTTTATTTTCTTTCTTCCTTTACTAATAAAAGAGATGTATAGTCAACAATAAGTATATTCTTTATCTGTGTCTGATGACAAAGAAATAGTTGAGAGCATAGGCGTTAGCGTGAATTTTTGGTCCATCTGACGAACTCCTCCAAAGAGACATCGTATCCCGAAGTAGGAGGATTGTATGAATCAAGTCCTTCTGGAAATCGAAGTCTTCCAAGTTGTCGAATGACTGATGGTAGTAAATGTTCTTTCTTCTTTGAAAATTTTGCCAGAGGTGTGTTGAGTTTTTTGACAAATATGATTCGCCGTTGTGCATCATTAATTGCTATTGAATTACGTGTGGAAGCTTTTGCTGCAGGAAGGCTATTGAATTGTTCATCAAATAAAATGCGCGAGACGGATTGAGGCATTTTTGTCTTATGATCTTCATAACAGGATTCTAACATTGTTTTTATTGCTTCAATTTGACATTGACGAAGTGGACGTCCGTCACTATATAATAAAATATTTTTTAGATGGTTAGAAAGTATTTCAACAAACGAGTCAAGAGAGACCGCCGTAATATCCGACGTCGTAGGGCACCAGCATTGAATAACTCATCATCCTCGGCGCATTCAATCACCAACATTGCAATGATGGCAACTTCGACGACAGAAAAAAAACTCGAACTATCTCGCAAACGTCTTTCACGTCCATCAAATCAAGATTCTGTATCGCATTATGTTACTGATGATGATGAATCAAGAAATCTCAGCGAATATGAAGAAGATCAGTGTAACGAATTTTTATTTAAGATAGATGTTGTAGAGATGTAAAAGATATTATTCGTTACTGCTGCAGCGTTTATTTTATTTGTGATCACAAAGAGAAACTGGAAGAGTAGCGTTACCGCTATCCTCAGTGTATACATGATATTAGTTACACTACTCCATTCTCTAACTTTCCAGTTCTGTTTACATTCCAGTTCTGATTTATAATACAATGCACTCGCTTTATATACGTGCAAACGAGAGAGAGAGAGAGAGAGAGAGAGAGAGAAGAATAGAAAAAGATATAATAGGCATATGCGCATTACGTAGGATATGTCTAAAGATGTAATCAGGTTACATAAAAGTAGATGGATAACATCAAGAAGTATAACAGATAGACTGATGAGAGTAACGAGTTATGCAAGGCCTATGGCATATTGCATAACACTCATCATAATGTATTCCTCCTTCCTAATACCGGATCAGAGGATATTCCAAAGAAATGAAAACGCAAATATGTGAACAATAAAGGATGTCCATGCATTATTGGCACAATCAGGACGTTACAATTCCGATAGAGGCTACAGAAAGTTATAATAACGTCAATTTAATTGTTGGGCTACAAATTCTAACCGATCTGGTTAATCATTTTTCCTGTCCCTCTTGTCACCGAATTGGAAAAATATCGAGCAAAGTCACTCAGCGACGAGGTCTTCTCTACCATATTGCATTCAGTTGTGAATGTTCATTCGAAACATCCATGTGTAATTCAAGTCCACTTCATAATCCTGCTTCCTCTCGCATGGATGAACTGAATATGCTCGCGTGCATTGCGGCGAATGTTGGAGGCATCAAACGTAGAGGTATGACCAAGGGGGAAACGGCAGACTTGAAGTAGAAAAGTACATCAAAGTACTTTACTTGAAGTAAGTTTAAAGTAGCTTAAAGTAACTCAAAGTAGCTCAAAGTAGTCCAAAGTAGTCCAAAGTAGCTTGAAGTAATTGCAAGTAACGTCAAGTGAATTTGAAGTTGAAAAGTACTTCAAAGTACTCTACTTGAAGTAAGCGCAAAGTAGCGCAAAGTAGCCTAAAGTAGCACAAAGTAGCACAAAGTAGCGCAAAGTACTTGAAGTGCAAAAGTCTGCCGTTTCCCCCTTGGGTATGACACAAATCCTAGGCTGCTTGAACGTTTTACCTCCAGTTCAAATCGAACACTGGAATAAATACCAGTCAATCTACGCGAAATCCCTTGTAACCACTACTGAAAAAAGTCTTGCAGCAGCCGGTAAGTTTTGCTATTGGTCTGAATCTGCAACTTAGTTTTAACTTTTATTAAATAGCGGAAGAAGCCGCTGACCAAGCTCAGGCACCATTCGACGAAGAAGGTGTGACCAACGTCACTGTTACTATCGATGGTTCGTGGCTGACTCGCCGTGGTCATTCAAGTTTGCATGGTTTAGCTACATGCTGCTCGACCGCTGATCCACCGAAAGTTCTCGATTATCAAGTTCTCAGTCGGCACTGTTCAACATGTTCAGGATTATTAGGTGTGAAAGAGTTTGATAAGGATACCTATCAGCGTCTACTTATTGAACATCTCGAGAGTGGTTATGATGCAAACCACACAGGATCATCGGCTGGGATGGAGGCGGCAGGTAAAAACCTTTGTTGTACCCTAGACTATTTCCGAGAACTGCAACGAAAATGATTTTCCAATCTATAGTGAAAGCACATACAGGAGTTATTCCCTCGACTGTAGGGAGGCTCATTTGAAGTAAAATGCGTTTGTCTATCTGTTTGTGGCAGTTCAAAAAAACAATATGCGAGCTTCCCTTCGGTTTAGAATTAACGGTCTATTCATGTAACTTTCCTGAAGGTTATCAGGGTCCAGGAATCCGAATCCGAAGTCAGATTTTAGAAATCTCGTAACAAATTTTCTTGAACAGGGTATGTATTGGAAGATATTTAGGTTATATTCAGTTTGACGATAGATAATCGAGGTCTCAGAAGTGCCACTCATTTTGGCTATATGAGTTTAGTCTTTGTTTTTCCTGGAGAATAGTGTCTTTGAGATTGTGAAGAATCATTCACGAATCAACTGAATTTTCTTCAGGGATGAAGCGCACGCCCAATATCATTTTAAGATACGCTGATGATCGACTAGTTTCTAATGCGAATATTTCAGATCTATTTTGATCTGGGAAGTGTTCAGTATTGTAATGTGAGTTTGTTTTCTGTGTGATGATACTTGATGTTGAGAGTGGCGGTTTTGGCTTCAATGCAGGTTCTCAGAAATTGTTACAGAGCATTCTTTGTTAGAAATCGGTTTTATGAATAAATATTTTCCAGTTTCAAGTGAAGAGCTCGTGCCTGAAGATCGATTGTTTTTCAGAGTTTAACAAAACTGTAGTGGACAGGAGATTGTGAAATATGAGTACTGTGTGGTATGGGGGTTGTGCAGAGCAGCAGCTGCTAGGCGTGAATGGCGCCCCTATGGGGCACCGACGAACGGCTAGGTGGTGCTTTGCTGATGGAGAGAATGGTCAGAAGCAATAGACATACATAAATATACCTCGACTATCTAGATATAAGTGCTTTCAAAATTGTTCAAAATTATCATCGAATTCGAGTGTTAAAATGAACTGAAGGATAAATTACTTCTAGGAGTCGCTGATCGGGGAACTGCATTCAATGGGAATCATATCCTGGTTGTTTTCGATTTCCTCGACTCAATGAAAGGTTTAGTTTCCTCGAAGCATTCAAGAGAGTCCTTATTTTTGAAGAATAGGTAGCTTTTTGCAGCCTTTCGAAAGAGTGTTTTCATACTACTGTCTGATTTGTATATTAATCATTTACTTATTTCGCAGCTTGTTCAAATAGGAGTTTCGATCACGAAAATTGAAATTTTTCTTCGCAGGTTGGACACGACTTATTTTATTTCCCGTTCAAGTTTTAAACTATAGCTAACTATTTACCAAACAGATTTTCTATGATTCATTTCTAAGTTGAAAAAAGCTGGATGTGATGTTGTAAAGTGGCAAGTTATACGTCCTTTATCCTGGATGCACAATAAAATGGCCACAAATATTGAGCAGGAACGCAGTTCGAAATTCTGTTGGATAAAAACTTTGGTGATATTGCTAACTGCATTTTTAAGCGGTCGTGGGCTCTACGTCTTCTCTGGATGAAGTTACAATGGTTATCTGAAATAGTAGAATCCAACTATGTATTAGCTGTAGATCATGTCTACTTTGATAAATCCCGACGAAAGTTGTACTGTGCGTGTTCCTTAATGCGGCCACGCATGTCTGAAAATTTCAGGCTGATCGAAACGTCTTAAGTGGTATCATTCTTGATAGATGATGGATTTCAAGCGCATAAGATTACTATTCCTCTACCCATGCAATTGGTAGCCCTGCTTGTATGCATTATACGATTAGTATTAGCATGATATTGTATACATTGTACCAACTCTAGCGACCTGTTTATCCCTAAGTCACAGTGTGCTCAGTTAAATCCAGGACAGATAGAAGCGTGAAAATGTGTATAAGATACAGTAATCTAGCATCACTTTTTATGCCAGGGTCTAAAATCCTATCCATTCTTTTTCAAATACTGGAGAGTAGTGTTGTTGAAGCTTACAAAGCAATAAATAATATCGGAAGAGCACGACATACAGTCGAGGGTCAAGCGAGTCTAAGCGACGAGCGTTACTTGTATACTTATCGATAAGTAAAACTAAATGGGAAAAAAACTGTTTTTCAATTTGATGCTACTTAACACAATTGGAAGTGAATTGTTTAGAATCGGTTAGGGTTTGACATCGAGAGTCAATCACTAAACATATCAAAATATCGATATCATATTGACTGATTGCAATTAAAGATAAATGCTATTCAATGTCAAATAATATTGATATGACAAGATCTCTACCTGAGACGTGTATAAAATATCTTGATCGATAGTTTTTTTCTCTATAGGCGACAAATCCTTTTATGATTTGAAGAAAAATATTGTCTAGAAGATTTCGTTTAACTTCTATTTAAGTGCCAAAAAAGGTAAATTCAATACTTTCACTG